TTCGTACAATCATTTATGGTTGTAACACTTCAATATAAGTGTTTACTAGTCCCAAAGGTGGTCCCAATTCGTTAATTAGTTGTTCATAACACTAATTATATTCATATATGTGCCAATATATGCTAAATAGGATTCGCGTGTGTACTCAAGTCACCACTTGATACTTAGCAACAGATCCAACATTGTCATCAGAACCACTCACTACAGGTGAGTTCATACCCCTAAAATAACCTTTAAAATGTTTTTATGGGGGGGGGGGGATACAAGTTGAACAATTATAGTTATTATATCAATCACATGTGATTGATTACTACCAAGCAAATTGTTTACTTACTTTCCAACCTGTTTATCAAACTGTTTTACGTCAAATTGTCTTACAAACTCCTCAATGGTCAAATACTTTTACTTAAACTCTTTTAAACTTATATTCTGTGTATTTGTATAAATATAGTTATATAAGTAGGATTGAAAGGACTTAGGACTGCTAGTCTACCCTGCTTCCTGTTCTTGTTTGATATGGTCTTAGGGTATCAAGGTTAGTTGTCCGAAGGTCGTTTGAATCCTAGTTATATATTATGTATATGTATATAGATATAAAAGGTTATTTCTTTCATCCAAATCCATGCCCTTGGGTAGCAAGGGCATACAGACATGTTCATACTTTACTAGTAAGCTACCATAGGGGTAGTTTAGGAAGATACTATTACTAGAACAATGAAACATACAATGAGTTAGTTCATACATGAGTCAATACATACTATGATGAGAATCACACATGAAACAGAGTGAGGAGAAACAAACAATAGACACTATGACGAGAAACAAACATACATGCTAGATAGATAAAGAACGCACAATACAGCTAGCACACATATACATTACATATACATTATATATACATAAACACAGTTATGTGAGCCATTAAGCAGGGCATGGCACTACCTGCCATGACTATTTTTGTATCATAATCTCCTTAATTGGGGAGCGTATGAGTTTGTGTATAGATCTATACTGGATTGACTATCCTACACCTTGCTACTCGCTACAGTGGGATTTGCAAGTCTATGGGTGCCAAACGTCATTTTTGTGGCATCTTACATTGTCACTTTACTATTGAGTCGGTAGCAAGATACATGCCGATCACATGTTACCTTAAAATATACAATTGGTTTAAGGTAATTAGTATAGCAGTAGTTTACTTAAAACTACGTTACAGTACTAAAACATTTTCCCTTTACATTTTACTTTGTGATATTCACAGGATACACGGTAATGTAGAAACTATATTTTTGGTTAATAATAGTCGGAATTGGGAAAATACACACTTTTACAAGAGATACACGCACAGACACTAGATGCCTTGGTAGAAGGCTACTTTTAGTAGGAAACATAGGGTTTTCTAGAGTAGATCAAACAAACACAAAACCTTTACAAACACACACAATACATCTTACAAAACATCTTACAAATGCTTTCATACAAATGCAGACACTAATATACTTATGATCTCACCAGTTTTAAAGCTGATACGTGCTTTCAAAATAACTTGTATTCTCAGGTCACCAGTAGACAGGTATAGGTGCTGGATTTTGAGAAGAAGGAGCGTTTTCAAGACTCCTCTTTTATTTTGATGTATATTTTTGGTGTCTATATAACTTGACAGAACACACTTGTATGAAATTATATTATTAATGCAATGGATGATGTTGTTGTTTGTTTACTACTTGCATTGTTGTGATACTATACATGACGTCCTCCACCCCAGAACGTTTCCACCGTTCATCGATTTTGAGGGTGTGACATAATACACGATTTCGGTTCTACTTTTCAATTTCTGGTTCCAACCGATTAAATATACCCGGAATCGAACTGGGTATTCCAGGTTTTAGTACCGGATTCGAAAGAGGGAACCAAAACCGAGTATTTCGGGTTTTAAAACAGGATGTTAAATAAAGAACTGGAGCGGGGTAATACACGATGTTGGTTCTAATTTTCAATTTTTGGTTCCAATCCGGTTTCCGAATTTTCCATGTCCGGGTTCGAGTCCGGGTCCAACGTTCCGGGTTTGGACCCACTTTCATCCCCAATATCTATGACCAGCGTCAATTTATGCCATTATCGCACATATCCGTCAAGTAACAATTATAGTTTCTACAACTTTAAGGGGTTGAATTTAAGGTTTTTTTGTTTGATATGTGTTATGGATTTTTTTTTTTTTTTTTTTTTTTCAGCTGATAATGAGTATTCAAGTGTTGATTCCAGAGCTTAATTGAAATGTTTCAGCATCCTAAGATCCTCAAACTGATGTAATATGATCTAAAAGAGAAAAAAAAAAAAAATACCCTTACATTCCTTGCAGGTAGGGGATTTTAAAAGGTTAAATAAGATAGAAGGTTAATCCAAGCTAAACATGTAACAAAAACATTTGTCGAATATAGCCCCTACTAAAAAAAAAAAAGATAAGTACCAAACGGACATGTTATCCAAAACCAGAAGGACCAATCGTGTAATTTACTCTATTTTTTTTCTCGGTTGTAATATTGTATTCTGTTCTCTTAGACAGTAGTTAAAAATTACAATACAGAAATCGCGGATCCGTATACATTAGAATCTCGGGTCGAGTCGGAGCCACCTCGAATCAATCACCCCTTCCGTCTTCCGACTCTCTTGACTTTGTTTTTCAATCAAATCCCAAATTCCGTGTTATTGTGTAGACTCTCTCTCTCTCTCTCTCTCTCTCTCTCTCTCTCAACAATCACAAACCCTAATTTCGATCCATTCCCCCATCTACAGAGGTAATTGATTACTTGTTTCCCTTCATCTGTCTCCCTTTGATATGCTCTCTTATCTAATTCTGCTCTCTATAATGATTAATGTTAAATTTTGTGTAGTCCTTGATGATCTATGCCTAAATTAGTCGACTTGTTATTCAATTCGTAAACATATTAGATTCAATTTACTCAGTTGTCGATATTAGTTTAGTTTTTGCCTTCTCCTTATGTTGAATTGCGATTTGCTTTTTCATTCCGGAATCAATATGTTGCTTCTTCTTAATTATCTAGAGTAGATTCCAAATCAAACAAACACGTTAAGCTGTGTAGCATCTCTATCTCTATAATTTAATAATTTCATACAGTTCATCAAATTTGTAAATACTAACTCGAAAAGTAAAATTCCCAGGGGTACTTTAGTCAATGTGCACACACAGTTTCAAAAATGTCGAGTAATATCAGCGAATCAACAAGGAAGCCACAAGAAACTCCATCATCAAACACAACCACAAACGATGCTGGTGATTTCGAATGCAATATTTGCTTCGAATTAGCTGAAGATCCAATCGTCACCTTATGTGGTCATCTCTTTTGTTGGCCATGTCTATACAAATGGCTTCACATTCACTCTCGTTCACAAGAATGTCCAGTATGCAAAGCCCTAATTCAACAAGACAAATTAGTCCCTTTATACGGAAGAGGAAAAACCCAAACCGACCCTCGGTCAAAACCCCTGCCCGAATTCGAAATCCCACATAGACCATCCGGGCAGCGACCTGAAACTGCCCCACCTGCCCAAGATAACGCTACAAACTTCCCGAATTTTGGATTTGGAGGATTTGTTCCAATGGCTTCTGCAAGATTTGGGAATTTTGCTATGTCTTCAGGAATCGGAGGTTTGTTTCCTTCTTTACTTGATATGCAAGTTCATGGGTTTCAAAATCCTTTACAATATGGGCCGATTAGACATGGATATGGGCCTAGGTTTTCGAGTGGGTTTCATGGTGGACATCATGTTCATGAGATTTTTCATTCGAGGAGAGGGAATCAAGAGTATAATCTTTTGAAGACGTTGCTTTTGATGATTGGGATCTTTATTGTTCTTGTGATGATCTTGTAAAGTGATGTATTTGATCTTGAAGTTAGAGAAGGTTGTTAGTGTTGTGTTCATATAATAATAATTAATAACTTTGTAATTGCGCTATATAATATGATTCTATATCGTGTAAAAGATATAGAATGATTATATGTTCTTTTCGTTTATGAATTATGAATTCTGTAGTTGAACGATAAAGATTCTATAAAATGCAATTACAATTTGTATCTTGTTTAATTTTCTTATCTTTGTCTATCACTTGTTTAATTTTCTTATCTTTGTCTATCACTTGTATCCCTTAATATGTAAAATAGACGTGAATGCCCTCTTCATCATTAAAATAGCTTAATTTTTTTTTGTCACACTTGAAAAAGTTCGATAACAAGTTAACAACTCGCTCTTGATATGTGCAAAATACGTAAATATCCTTCTTGGTTATCAAAATAGCCTTAATTTTTTTCCTATTGAAAAACTTTCTTTCGATATGTGCAAAAGACATGAATGCTCTTCTTTGTCTTCAATTTAACCTTAATTTTCTTTTTCACTCAAAAAAGATCGGACAAATCGCTTTTGATATATGCAAAAGATGTGAATGTTCTTCCTTGTCTGTAATATAGCCTTAATTTTAATTTTTCACTCAAAAGATTGGACAACTCGTTATAATATGTGCAAAATACGTGAATGCCCTTGTCATGAATATAGACTTAACTTTTTTTTTTTTCACTCAAAAAGATTAAACAACACGCTCTCGATATGTACAAAAGATGTAAATACCATCCTCATCATAAAAGTAGCCTTGATATATGCAAAAGACGAGAATGCCCCCGTCATCAAAATAGCCTTAATATTTTTCCTACTAAAAGGTTGAGAGATAGATTTGTTCTCCATATCTACAAAAGACATGATTATCCTCCTCATTCTTATCATCAAAATAGCCTTATAAAGTTTGTACAATAGTCTTGTCCAACAAAAACAACAACAAAAAAAAAAAAAAAAAAACATATACATGCTTCTTCATTTATATTCTTTTCTTTTCCCTATACATATATATAAATTTATATATATTTGTAAACAATTCTATAATTCCATTATCTAATAAATCCTTTTTTTTTTTTTTTTTTTTTTTTTTTAAACTAGCAAGGAAATGTTCCAGTAAGTCGAATATGATCAAGAGTGGTTCTAAGGCCATATTTAAGCACGGATTTATTCCCTTCTCTAAACCCATCACCATAAGCTGCTGAGGTGTCCGTTTCAATTTGGTGTTTAAAAAACTCACCAAGTTGCTTCTCAAAATCAGACCTTTTTCCTTTTTTTGATGACGTGGCAACAGTTGTAGATGAAGAAGATGATGACGTGGAAGCAATATTTGAGCTACCAGAACCAGCCATAATCTCTGAATCCAACCACATGTGAGCTAAAACTTGACAGATTCCTTCTTCAACGTTAGGTGGAATGTTAGAGAACCCTGTTAAATTCCAATTTTACCCTCCATGAGAAAAAAAAAAACCCAAAACAAATCGATTTTTTCATTATCCACATAGAAAACATGAAAAAGAAAAAAGAACGAGCCTTTAAGCCGGAGCCATGCGTGCATCATTTCGTGAGCCAATATTGAACCGGTCAATAACCTGAATTTATGAAGTATTTTTTTGTTATAACTCATATAATAAAAAATAAATAAATAAATAAATAAATATTTACAATTTTCATCGCTGTATTATTTAAAAAGTTACGATTCTAGTCCAGATGTTTAATTTGTTTCAAATACGGTCCCTAAAACATAATCTTATTGCATCATAACATGTTTCGTTCGGCCTTTAAAAACCCCCTTTCAATGGCTAGGGAGGAATCATGCAATGAAAGTATGAAACAACATTTAAGGGACCATTCTCGCAACAAATCAAAATATCTAGTCTGAATTTGTATCTTTTAAAGATTGTAGGGACGAAAGTTGTAGTTTAGTCTATGATTAAAAAAAGAAAATCTCCTGTCTTAATATTTTGAGTTAATGTATGGTTTAGTTTTAACATTTATTTTTTTAACATAAAAGTTTTAATTATCTAATTTTATACAATAATCTGTCATTTTTTGTTGAAAAAAGATAAAAACCGTTTCGTTAATTTGGGCAAAATATATAAAAAAAATCAAGACTTTTCTGTTTAAAAAATATAAATTAAGATTAAACCGTACACTCACCTAAAATATTAGGATTTTATCAGAGATTTTCTATAAAAAAAAAACAAGCATAAATTAAATTGTTGTCCCAAGATTAAATAGTTTCCTCTTGCTATTTTGGTCCATATTTTCAATCCTTATAATAGTTTTGGTCCCTATAGTTACAAAAATCGCAAGAGAAAACTATTAAAAGTACGATCTTTGAACAAATTTAGGGATCAAACTAGTTATAGGCACCAAAATTGTAAGAGAAAATAGTTTCGGACCAAACCTATAGTTTTTAAACAAAATCAAGGACCAAAAGTGTAATTTACTCAAAAAGAATGAGGAATTAATTACCTAGGGAGACTGTATAAGATGAGAATGGCTGTGACTTCACATCGACGAATTAGCTTATAAGGTTCTGTAAACATGTCAATTAGACGTCCTGCCCCAACTCTTGGTCGTTTTGTTATCTGTATTTTTAGTAAATTAAATAAAAATAAAACAGAAAATTAAAAAAATAATAATAACAATAAAATAGTTAGTGTTGATGTTCATACAGTGCTGATAGTTTGTTCCTCTGATAGACAAAGTCCTCTAGTTTCGGGCATGTGATGATGACCCTGCCATCAAATAAGGATTAAATATATAAAATATAAAAAATGACATTGAAAACGAAAATTAAACACGATGTATTATTTTAGTCCTACACTATAGATGAATGTATTATAATTAATAAATTTTATATTTACAACTATAAAAATTAAACATAAGAAAAAATTATTAGAATCAAATAGTTTTATAGAAACGTTTTGGAAATTAAATTGTAAATCTTAAAAAAAAAATTCATTTGAAGTTACATAAATAATTAAAATTATATTGCATTTTTTTGGTTTGAAAAAAAAAAATGAAAACTAATAAAATGGGATGGATTTGTTTTGTTGGATTTGCACAAAATGATGTGAGGAATGAGATATAGATAGTGGGCGTAATAAAGAAGGTAATGGAATGAGTCATTACATTCCATGATCATGCAAGAATGAAATGAATTTTCATATGAATCGTCCATTTTGTTTGATCGACGAAACAAATTGTTTTTTCATTCCATTCCCATCTTGATTCCATTCATTCATTTTCTATTCCGATGGAATCACCAATTCCATTTCTTCTCAATTTCGTTATACGAAACAAGACCTAAAAAACTACATACGGAATTTACTCACATTTTTTTCGCCTTCCATGGCTTCATTTAGAGCTTGTCTTTCAACCAACAACAATGGAACTTGTTGCTCAATTTTCATGTTCAATCCTTCATAAAAATCTTGGATTTCAAGATAAAGTGGTTGGCATTCATGAGTATCCATTATAGCGGAATCAAGGCACTCCAAGCATAGCTTTCTACCATCATCTAATAACAAATATTTCGTGTCTCTTGTCTCCATTCTTTCACAACTACAACATCTAGGAGTCCCATCATGCTCATGTGATGGACAATACTTTTGTGCCCAAAAAGGATGCGCCCTATATTCAATCAATCCATTTCCATTCGTTGGAATCTACACAAATAGTTGAAATTTGTAAGTTTATCTAATGTAATAGAATGACTAAAGAACGGAATTGAAAAGGTTAAGAAATGATTCATTATATTATTGATCATGTTTTTATTGGTTTGTAGTAACGAAATGAATTTACCTTTAAATTTCTATATTAATACAATGTACAATTATAAATTTGTTATATATTATTTTATTATAGGTACCCGAATTTTATTTAGATCCAAAAAACAAACAAAATTAAAGATTGAAACAAACTTACAAAGTTTTTGCATACGTCACATCTTGGGTGATGGTGTTCTTTATAGCATGATAGGTGAAATGGTCGGTTTTCAGACATGGAGAACTGTATAAAAACATTTCAATTTAACTTGTAATCTCAAATTAATCATGGATTTTTATTTTATATTGATATTATTATTATTATTATTATTTTGTTAAAGTTAGACCTCATAATCAGATATTGGTAGATTGCAAGCATGACAACGGAAACATTCGGGATGCCAAACTCCTTCCATGCAACTTAGGAATCTTCCATGGCCGATTTCTACATTGCATCCAGCACATATCCTGTAATTTAGGGGTATGAAATGAAATTTAATAATGAAAAGTAAATGCAATATTTTCAATTTTTTTTATTTATATCTAAATACAATTTGCTTAATGTAAGTATGTATAATTTTTTATTTTTTTAATTATTTCAACGAGGTCCGTTCCATTGCGTTTTGTTGACAAATGGATGTAACATAATTTTGCCAAATGGATTTCAACATTCCTAAAAAGGTACAAAAGGTACGTAGGAATTAAATCCTATTTTTTGATATCCTTATTATGTACATTGGAATAAATAAATTAAAGATAGTCATCTATATAAATTAATAATTATTTAATAAAAAAAAAAGTTAAATCCATTTCATTTCATTTATATAGTTTGCCAATTCTGCACATGAAGAATTATGATTTCTAATTTCTTCATACCCGAATTTCTTTGACATATATATATATATATATATTTCATTCATTTCAAATAAAAAAAAAAATTACGAGACAAATGCTTGCAATCAAATTCTTTCCAAATCACATTATGATAGATGAAGTCCATCACAAGTGGTGTTTAAAGGATTCCAACGGAATTAAATTATTCTTGGAATGGAATTACAATTCCGATTCCGTTGGAATCCATAAGATTCTCAACTAAACAAGCACTCATTCTTTTGTTTGTTAATTGGAGTGAGATGAACATAACAATTATGATTAATAACACGAATGAGTTCTCCATATACCTGTATCCACCGGAATTGGAGTACGACAAAGGCGGAATCATGTTTCCATAATCATTCTGTGGTGGTGAAATATCCACATTCAAACTTGCTTCAAGAGCCTTGGCAAGCTCTTCGTCTTCCTCTATATGAGAATCATCATCATCATCATCATCATCGTCCTCCTCATCATCATCATCATCTAACAAAATCAACATTGGAATCCATAAATAAACTATTCTCACAAGAGTTATTAAAATTAAAAACATTGCTACTCACCAATTACTTTTTTTCCTTTATCTTCTTCGGAATCGGAATCTGATTCCAATTCCGATTCCGTTCCATCTTCTTCTAGACAAGAACTCGCTCGTTTTTCATCATCTTCTTCACATGAAATTGACCCATCATTATCACCATCACCACCACCACCATCATCACCATCATCATCATCCTCATCCTCATCATCATCATGTTCATTGCTATCTTCTTCTGCAACAGAAATGGTGCTTCTTGCATCTTCTTCTAAAAGGGAAAGCGCAATTGCTCGATCAATTTCTTCACTATCAAAGTCCGATAATGTCTCCTACATCATCAAAATAACCAAATAATGAAAACTACACATAAAATCAAAGAAAACAGGGGAATGGAATCACTGATTACCAAGGTTGTTGGATTAGACTCCAAGATTCCTTCTTCATCTCCATATCTTCCATGGTGTTTCCCTGAGATTTTATCACTCAAACCAAACCCCCTAAGAATCTTTGCCAAACAACCCATCACACAAAATTTGGGACTCTGTTTTTCTGCATTCCATAAACCTCAAAATTATACATAAACACACATTTAATAAAATACCCAATTACAAGAAATTAACAATTTTGAATTACCCGATTAGCATAAGTTAATTGATCAGAAGGAAATTTTATTTCAATGAATAAGCTATATCAATAATTGCATGAACACCTCAATCACAGCAAAGCAATGGCGTAAATATTCAATTGAAGCAAAAGAAAATTGTAATTAATAATCCATATGTGATTTCAACTTCCACCAACAAAAAATTTAAATAAAAAAAAATAAGCATCTTCCAGATAGACTTTGTCTGTTTTCCGACATCAAATTCATAATCAATAAAAATAATCGAAAATCTCACCTTCAAAACCTCTAGTGAAACCATGGATGATCACACGAATCCAGTTCGATTATAAACATAATCACCAAAAGAGCTTAAACATCAATATCATAATCCAAATTCGCGATTTCCCACATTCCATTTATACCCATAACACCTGATGAAAACAACATCACAGATGATTAAAATCGAGAATTTACAGGTGAAGAAGAAAGAGAAACATCAGAGTAAAGAAGACGACAATGATTGGAACTACTTAAAGCCTACGCCAAGCAAAAGGGAACAGAGTAGAATCATGAAAACAGTTTGAAAAATTCAAACTTTTAATCATAAATAAATCATCATAATTCGAAAGAGTAGAATCAAAATCGGCAAATGGGGATTGAAATTTACCAGTTTGTGTCAGTTCTTGATGTGGGACCTTTTTGCCCCCAAATATATCTATGATTAGGCCATTACAGGTCAAAATTTTGATTGGAATTGCCTACTATTTTTCATCCATTGATGACAGAGGGGAAGAAGATAAAATATGGGGTTTGTCTATTCTTTGACTAATTTGGGAGACATAAGCATAATTTTGTGATTAATTATTGTTAATAAGTATTGGATTTATTGATAAAGATATATAAGAAAATAAAAAAAAAGGAATGAGCTTTTTTTGTGGTGGGTTAGTGGGTCGGTGAGTATGATCCCTTTTAGATGGGAGAGGCTACTGAAAAAGTCACTTGCACGCATGCATTTCACCTTTTGTTGCACTAATGTTTTTCTCATATATATTTTAAATTGAATAAATTGTAAAAGATAGTGTAAATTGAACAAATTGCCTTTGTGTTTGAGGTTAATTATGCCTTGGTGATTTACTATTTGTTTAACTCGCACCATTTTACACATTCGATTCTTGTATTATTTGTTTTCTTTCGGTTAAAACGTCTCATGTTACTTGCATTCAAGGGTAATTTTGTCTTTTTCTTTTTAAAAGTCCACATACCTTTAGTCATATTCCATTTTCATCATTTTTATCTTTTTGTTTCACCTTCATTTCATCCTTGTCTTTTTCTTAGTAAATTATGCGAATTGTCCCTGTAGTTTAGGGTAATTGATGCATTTTGTTACTTTTTTCTAATTCGATCGGTCTTAAGATATAATTTTGTTGCGTATTTGGTGCATTCCGAACCTAAAAATACTATTTTACCATTGGTGATTTTTTATTTATTATTTTCATTTGTGTTCTTAACTTGTTATTCTCTCGGTTTCAAATTAATTTTTCACTTTTGATTTTTGAAGTATTTGTTATTTAACTTTGATTTTAAATATTTTTATTTGTGTTATATATCACTTGATGAAAATTATAACAATAAAAAAAAATTAAAATGCAATTTATTCATATATTATGCATCTAGTATTATCTATAAAAAAGAAAAATATTTAAATTTAAAATTTAAAATAAAAACTAAAAAAGTCAAATGGACAAAAAAAAATATATGAATGGGTGAATCTTCCCTGGAAGTTAAGTAATGAGGTGGGACACGTTTGTTAAACATTTTTTAAAATAATAATAATAATAATTATGGGAAAACAAATAATAAAAAACTTTAAAAAAATAAGAAATGGTAAAATAATTTTTTAGGTTGAATAGGTACCAAACGTACAACAAAACTACATCTTAGGACCGTTTGAATTAAAAAAAAAATCTTAGGATTGTCTAAATTAAAAAAAAATAAAAAATGAAGCAGCGATCAAATACGCGGATTATCCCAAACCACAAGGACCATTTTCATAAATTACACGCCATTACACAAATCAAAAATCAAAAATGGAAAAATGCAATCGCATATAGTGACAAAACTGTAAATTTGATCCTTGTGGTTTGCAAAAATCTTTGGATGGGGTCCAAAAAGTATCTAGCTTGCACAGAAGGTCCGAAATCAAGGTTTTTCTATGTTTTTAGTCCTAAACTTAAGAATTTTTTGTAGTTTTGGTCCATGGAGCACTTGAATTGACTGTTTTGCCCTTTAAATTTCTTTTTTTGTATTTTTTACATTTTTATTTTATAAATATTAATGCATAAAAAAGAATTATATACATATATCTCTCTCGCTCTACCAAACCCACCAGAGCCTTCCCCCTTTTCTCTCTTCCTCTTCCTCCCCTCCTTCGAAGTCCTCCTTTCTCTCTCTCGTTTCTGCCCTTCTCACTGGAAAACACAACAACTGGAGTTGCTGCCTCCCCCAACACCACCTTACACCGTCACCACCCTAGCACCATTCCACCTCTGTCCCTTCCTGTTTCAGTGACCAGGCCTCAACTCAAACACCTGCATATTCCTTTTCAAATCATTTAAGAACACAAGAGAAAAACAACACAATAGCAACCGGAGTTGCTGCTGCCTCCAACGACACCACCACAGAAAAAAAAAAAAAAAAAAAAAGAACAGGGAAGGTTGTCGGAGCACCCACTGAGACCGACGACCACCCTTCGCACCCTCCTCTTCCATTCCGTCGAGCAACCCCACCGAGGACCCCGACTTCTTCATTGCTGCTGCTCGCGGCACTCCACCATTTCCTTCGTCCCTTCGGCTTCGTCAAACTACAGAGACGACCTCCCTCGTCGCCGATCAAACCTTTCCCGCTTCGCACATCACCATTGGAGCAGGAAGAAGCTTCACTGCTTTTTCCCTTCATTCCTTCGATCTGGCCAAACCCCAGAGGTCATCCCCTTTTCCTTCGTCGCTTCGTTCTCGTTGACCACCGAAACTCCGTCCCTCTGCCAGCAATTGATTGGCATCCATCAGACTGGCAACGAGAGAGAGAGAGAGAGAGAGAGAGAGAGAGAGAGAGAGAGAGAGAGAGAGAGAGAGAGAAAGAGAGAGAGAGAGAGAGGGTTCTTAGTTTTTTTTTATTTCATAAAGTATTAATATAAATAAGAAAAGAAAATACAAAACTGAAATTAAAAGGGTAAATAGGTAATTTCAATTTTTTTGGACCAAAAACCTAGATTTCGGACCTTCTGTGCAAACTGAAAACCTTTTGAACCCCATCCAAAGATTTTTACAAACCACAATGACCAAATTTACACTTTTATCGCATATAATTGATTGTTATATGGAACTTGGGAAACTCAAGTAGGAATGGGGGAAAGATATGGACACGTTTAAATAGCTATTTCAAAAAGGTATAAGAAATTTTGATTTTGTATATGTTTGAATTTATTTATTTATTTATTTTATTATTTTTATTATTTACATATTGCACCCATAATCTTATAAATTTGTTCAATAAACAAAATTTTAACAATTATTTATGGGTTTACCCGGTTACCGCTTGATGTGACATTTTCATGTTGTTGATGACCTGCTTTTTGAGTTAACCTGATTTATATATATTGAATCATTGAAAATTGAACTTTTGTTTTAGATATTGGTCTAACAATCTTACAAATTAGTTTAAAAAAAAAACCATTTTATGTGACAACGCTTGGTTTTAAACTAATGACCTCATGGAAGGGAAGTGGCGCTATTATCAGCTTAATGTATGCTTTTGTTTTTTAATTGTTGTTGTTTTTGATATAATATAATATATCTTGTATAAGGTTTGATAATTTTTAAAATAAAATTAAAATAAGGGAGACAACAATCAAACTAAAGTCGTCGACTCCACTAATGTATATAATGTATACTCGTGAATGGTGTATACAATGTATACTCGTGTGAAAAATATGTATTTATATGTAAAAATATAGTTTTGAATATAGAAATAAGGGTTTAATGATGAAATGTACAAAAATATGATTCAAAGTTTTCATTTTTAATTCAAGTAAAACATTATTCCAAATTTCCAACATCATTCATTCCTCCCAAATAAAACAAGTGTATCATATATCATAAAAATAAGATTGAAATATCAAATGCAAGATTAGGTAGTGTGTGCGATGTAATCATCCGGGGGTCTTTCCCTTGGAACCGGAAGTACTTGAAACATAAACTGAAAACCGTAAGCATAAAGCCTAATGAGTTCCACAAACTACCCCATACCATACTTAATAAATTATACACTAGGCCCCCGCACACCAGCGTAGCCCGCCTGGTATTGAGTCCCACTCGGCTTCGGGCCCTGCCCAGTATATAGATCCGTTATTCTTAGGCCCAGTCTGACATCGGGCCCCGCCTACTATTCACATATAGTATAAATATCATATATTCATTCTAACACATACAATGATCATAAAACAATAGCATACGAATCAATCATTGGGCCTCGCTTGGCATCGAGCGCCGTCCAACATACATAGCAGCACATAATACATGCGAGGGTCACGCGGACTCCTAGCATGCTAACATAATCAATAAGGGCCGGCATTGGTGCCTTAGACCCGCTAACCCAGCGAGGAAACTCACATCGAATGCTGAAACTCACTGAATATCCCTAGCTGCTGCCCTAACGACTCCTCGAACTATCATTACAAAATAACAACCAGTTAACACTTGGGTTCCATTCTATATCAAATAATCTATACTTGGGGTAAAATAACCATCTTACCCCTGGCCTAGCTTGATCAAAGATTAAGGCCCAACTCCACAATCTAAAAGGTCCAATACCAAATAATCCTTTAAGGCCCACTTATGGCCTAATTTTCCAAATTGGGGTCAAACCCTCAATAAGGGCCTTACCTTAAAGCCCAATAAATTTCCTTAGCCCAAAATCTTGATTTCAATTGGGTCAACGAATCCCCGACCTTCTAAGCCCAAAACATGGCCCAAAACTAAAACTCAACATTGAAGCCCACTGATTACACTACGTTGGGCATAACCTTGGTACGCTCCGCGTACCAGGATGCTTTGTTGGATCGTGAAGTCTTATGAGTACTCGCAGCGTACTCCCATGTACGTTGGGCATAAACGTCAAAAGGCCAAAAAGTCCATAAGCACTTAATTCTTAATACTAAATGTCCAAATCATGGATCTAGCTCCTAATAGACCTATAAAACCATAAAGTCACTAACTTGGTGACTTTACATGCCTTAAAAGGTTCCAACTTCTAAATATGGTAATCTACTTCCATAACAAGGGTATAAACCCATGCATGGGTGATTCTCAACCCAAAAGATGCTAACATTAAGGCTTAGAAACCTCAAAATTTCAAGAGGGGAAACTCATAACTTTTGAAATTGCATCAAGCCACCAAATCTCTCTCATGGGACCCAAAAGTTAACCAATACCAAGCTAGAACTAGATCTAAGCTATAACACAACAAGTTCAGAAAGACCTTCAAGATGATCTCCTTCAATGAAGCTTCAAGATGATCTCCTTCCTTCAAAAATACCAAAATACACTCAAAAAGACCTTCCAAGCTCAAGAACACTTAACAATGGAGTTAGGGTTTCGTGGAGGCTGATTAGGGACAAGAGGGAGGCCGATAGAAAAGATCATTGGGAAATAATGTTCTTTAAATAATGCTCAAACCCTAAATATTAGGGTTTTAGGGTCTGGACACGTACACCACGTGTACCCGCTCGTACATCGTGTGTATGTGCATGACATCCACGTTCCAATTACTCTAGTATGTTCTACATACATAGGGTGGTACGTCCCGCATACGACACACCCCAAACCCAAAATGGTTAAGTCTAATGACTTAAAGGCCTAAAATCAAAATAAATAATAACCAAATTTAAATATATACCTTAGAATTATTGGGTGTTAAAAACCAAATGCATCTTGATTTGGTGGTAGAGTCATCATCTCTGTTCAGGTCATTAATTCAAAACCAAGCCGTGTCATATTAAAATGATATATTTTTTTGAACAAATTTTTGAGATGATTGGTGCAATGCATACAAAAAACATTTGGTGACTAAATGTGTCCAAAAACCAAGTGACTAAATGTGTACAAACCACGTCAACAACTATATGGTTACCACATTGAGTAGTAACCCAAAAATGTCGGTTAAATGGCATTATTTGTACAAATTTATAAGATAAAGGGTACAATATTAACAAAAAAAGTTCTAACAACTAATTGTATACAAAACCAAGAGTTTGTTACCCTCTTAAGTTACTATCATTTTAAAAAATATAAATTTTAAAATCAAATTATGCTGAAATATCCCAAAATATCTTAAATTTTTAAGAAAGAAAAAATAAGTTGTTAGAAAGTTTATACAAGAGCATCACAACCAATATATTAAAAAAAATGTGAAGTGTTATTAATATTTCAAACAATACATCAGAGATTTTATAAATATCCTCAAGCTTACAAATGTTCATAACCATAAAGAAACAATTAGTAACCTCAAAATTGTATACTAGACATAGAAAGCCTAGTGGATAAAACATATGTGAAAAAAAGACATATTTTAATAAAAAGTTATAATCCCTTCTTTCTCAAAAAGTCACAAAAACATTAAAACTTCATTAGGTTAGGGACAAACATTGCAAAACATAAATAAATTGTTATAACCTCATAAAACTCAATAAACATTATAGAAAACCAAAGAATGTAAAAATGATATGTATCATATTAGTTCAAACCCCAAACCCTATGATATCTAACCTTATCATAGTTTTCCCTCATTCCCAAGGGACATCCCAAGATAAACCTAATGGAAAATATGTTTAATAAGCATCTATATCATATATAACTCAAGAGGGATTTTGTAACATCCCAAAAATACAAGCCAAAAACTTCGTTTTTGAAATCAATTAACAAAAATAATATTATCATCATAAAAACAATTCATCAAACAAGTATCTCAAATCTCGTAAAATCTGTCAACATATAACTGTTTCATAATAAATATCAGAGTAAGCTCCCAGGCTAATAGAAATTGTAGTGTGTGCCATGCCATCAACTCGAGCCCTTCCCTTTGCTAGCTGAAGTACCTGAAACCAAAACTAAAACTGTAAGCACGGAGCTTAGAGGGCTCCCCTAAGCTACCACATACCATACACATATAACATGAACCTAGGAGATACGACCCCCGCCCACACTCATGGAGATATGGGCCCCACCCACACTCCACTAACTAGGAGATACGGGCCCCGCCCACACTCTGCTAACTCTGAGATACAAGCCTCATCCACACTCAGCTACTCGAGATATGGGCACCGCCCACACTCGGCTGCTATAAGATACGGGCCTCACCCACACTTAGCTACTAGGCAGACATACAAGTATTATGCAGACAACAAGTATAACTAGATCTATCATTCAGACTTATATCATAATCAAACTCCACTACCGGGAAATACGGGCCCCGCCCACACTTAGCTAACTGGAAGATACAGGCCCCGCACACACTCATCTACTAAACATAACATGTTACGGGCCGACCTTGATGCCTTAGACTCGTTCCTACTGAAGGGAAACTCACCTTGTGTGACTGGATACTGAAACTCTGAGTGAGAAATCCCCGTCTGCTGCTCCGACGACTCTTCGACTATAATTTCCAAAAAGACACATAGTCAAGAACTGGTAAATGATCTTAGGGTAAAATGACTATTTTACCCTTGGCCAAGGTTAATATCCTGATCAGGGTTAACTTCCAGTTGACTCGACTCACCGAGTTGGCCCGCTAACTCGTTGAGTCCATATCCCTTCATCTGTCACTCATCCCGACTCAACTCGTCGAGTCTAGCAAGAACTCAACGAGTTCTCCTTCAATCATATCATCAAGACAATCTTCAA